AAGTCAAAAAATAAACAAGCCTAAAAGTGGGTGAGATTGGGAGTTGGTTAAACCAGTATTCCCAACATTTCATGTATCCTGGTGGTTCCTAGGATAATTTCAGGTGATGCAAAGATAAACATATTTCATATATTTATTTCAAAGTATAACTAGCACGTTTGTGACTTCATGGAGATCAATGCTTACGGTAAGGCTAAATACAGATGGTGAGTTGATTTTAAAAATTAAGTGAATAAGCATCAATAACATGTGCATACTGTTCAGATGTTCTCTCACACTCTCGGATATGTAACAGCAAATCATGCTGGTTCTCTCTTCAAATACATTCACTTCTCCCCAACCCAGTAGGGCCTCCCCTGGACCTCCTTCCTATGCCACTGGCCCTCTGCGGTCTATTCTTCACACGACCACTAGAGGGAGCCAATTAAAACAAAGAGGATCATGCCCCGGGGCCAGGAACCTTCAGGGGCTCCCCAGCCCACTCAGAGGACAAGCCAAAGACCCAACAACGTCCAGTATGAACCTACTGTCTGCCCTCCAGTCTTTCTTCCATCTCACCACATCTTTGTTAGTTTTGGAACATGCTGGGCATGCTCTCACCTCAGGATCCTTGCTGTTCTCTGTGCCTGGAACATTCTCCAGATAGCATCATAGTGATTCGCCCATCACTGTCAAAACCTTCCTCAAATGTCACCTTTTCAGGGAAGCATCCCTGAACCACACTTTCCCTGAACCACACATATCCTCTCCTAACAGTCCTCTCTCCCCTTCTCTGCTTTATTTTCGATCTTTGCACCTTGACCTTCCAAAATACTTTATACCTGATTACTTTGTTTATGGTCTGTCTGACCTCCCACTAGACCCCCTGGAGCTCAGTGATTTTTTGTGTGTGTGTGTGTTTGCTTAATGCCGGATTCCTAACACCTAGAACGCAGCCTGTCACACAATGGGAGCTCAATAAGTATTTGCTGAGTGAATGAACATAAAGTTCCATTCATACACATATGCATTTTTCAAGAGAGAGCGAGAGGATCCATCACATTCACCAAAGTCTCAGAAGGGTAGTCTTACCACCCAAGGGTCTCCCAACTCCCCCATTTTGGCCCATGCTGGCCAAGTAGATTTACCTTCCAAAGGGGCCGACTTAGTCAGTTGGGGCTCTAGTTATTTCGGACAAGAATTAATGAGTTGGGCCCTTGTTTATTCACCAGCTTCCTGTAAAGTGGGTTAGAGTGAATCAGTCTCCCTGCCCGTCCATCTGACTGTAGTGAGCGGTGGCCCCTGTTTCCTCTGTGATAGCTCAGTTCAGACCCGGGGCCCCTAGAGCCTGCCTCTTCCCACAAAGAAGTAAGTTCTGCCTGTGTCACACCTTTTATCTTTCCCAAGGGCAAAGAACCGTATTTTCTTTTCTAGGAACAGGCAATAAGAAGTACACTTACCTCAAGTAGCCCTGGGTTCAAGTACCAACTCTGCCAACTATTGGCTGTGTGACCAGAGATGAATTCCTTAACCTCTCTGTTTCCTTCTCTAAAAAATCTGACCTAGTAAGAATAACTTCCTCTTTATGTTGATGGGGGGACGTGATGAGATGGTGCATGTAAGTGTTTGGTGCAGGATGATAATGAGCATGGAGCTTGGTGAAGGGAGGGATTTCAGTTCAACACGCAACAAATATTTACTGAGTGCCCACTGTGTGACAGGCACGGTGCTAGTGACTGGGGTGGGGGGAACAGGTCAGGTGCTGTCCTTGTGAGTTAGCTTCTTTGAGGGTACAGACAGAATGGCATCCAATGGCCTGCTTCTGACTCCACTTCCTTAGTGCTGCTGTGGGGGACCTGTGCCTGAGAGTTTCTGCATCTCTCGGGGCTTGCTTTGTAGAAGCAGAGGAGAATGACAAGGAGTTGTATGGCTCTGAATTGTGAGAAGCACCGTCAAGGGGAAGCACAGGACGCTTTGCAGGGGACTGGAATAGTGGGAAGGGTGTGGATTTGAATCTGAGGGGTTAGAGTTACTTCTTTGTGATTTACTTTGTTAGTGACTTGGGGCAGGCACCTGCGGAGCGGCAGCTGGGACCTCACCTTCCACCTCTCCTACACCCCGGGGAATTGGAGCTTGTTCTCTGGGAGGGTGCTGTGGAGCTGGAGGTCAGAGGCCCTGCCCTTCTGGGCCCCTGCGCACACACCCTCTAGTGGCCACAATGCAGCCTGTGCTAGGCTGGATGGGCCCTGGGAATGCAAGGACCTTGGGCTGACTGTCACTGTTCTTCCCTTCCAGATGCTATCTCCCCTCAGAAGCAGTCTTCCTGTAAGCCTGTCCTAATTTTGGTAACCACCTCCAGCATGGTTCCTGTTCTCATTTCACAGAGGAGTACCCTAAGGCTTCAGAGCTGAGACAGGTTAAGTAGGCTCAGTACTGAATTTAGGCCTGGATGACTCTGGGTTCAGCACTCTTCTGGCTCATCCAGCTGGCACCCCCCCACCCCCCATACCACGTCTCTGGGTGAGCAAGTAGTTGGTCCGAGTTACTGCCCAGGGAAGAAGGCTGCTCTGCCAGGAAGGCCACTGCTTCAGACTCCACCGGACATCCCTCAGGGCAGTCCCTCAGGAACCCTGCAAAAAGGGATGCCATAGTACCTCAGAGAGTTATGGGGATGGAGGGGAAGGAGCCACAGTTCACAGATTAGCCCCCAGGGGTAGGTGCTGAGCATTTGTGGAAGCTGATCACCCACCTTCTGACTGCTGTCCCATTTCCTTTGCTTCTCATTACACACACACATACACACACACACACACACACACACACACACACACCCTTTCTTCCGAACTGGCTGAGTTCAAATTACACCTCTGCCACAAACTACAAGCTTGGGCAAGTTCCTTAATGCCTTTGCACCTCAATGTTTTTATCTGAAAACTGGTGGAACAATTATACTTACCTCCAAAGTTGTGTTGTATGGAGTTGGGGGCCTTACCCCGTAACACTGATTCAGCAGGCCCAATGGATCACATTTTGAAAAATCACTGCCCCAAAAGATGTGCTCTGACCACTTTCTAGCTGTCGGGGGTGAGCAGCCATACTAGTTTAGTATGCCCCTCTGGTTTCATCATTTTAGCATTCTCAACACTATTTTCATTTCAACAGCAAATTGAAAGGGCAAGTTCCTGTGCCCCAGTTTCCTCATCTGTAAAATAGAGATAATAGTACCTAACCAGGGTTGTTGTGAGAATTAAATGACTAAAATCTTTGTAATGCTTCCAACATTGCCTTGCCCATAGTAATGACTCTATACAATGAGCTATTATTATTGTAATCAACAGCCAAAATAGCAAATGCCCTGATAAGAAAAATACTTTACATTGCATTGAGTTTCTCCTTGTATTTTAACATGCATCAATTTCCCCTAGTGCGGGAGGTGACTTAAAGGGGCTTCTGGGGTGTGCCCCCATTACCTTGTCTTCTGGGTACTGGTTACACAGGCATTGTGTTCACTTGTGAAAAATTCATCCTGCTGATCACTTGCAATTTGTGAACTTAAAATGCACCATCTCCTAGGATCTACCTGTGTCTGTGAACAACGCTAGGCAGGCTTCATCCCCATTTTACAAACAAGACACTGAGGCCAAGACAACTATTTTGATTTGGCCAAAGCAGTAGGGGATGATGAGGGTGGGGGAGCCTCTCAGCCCCGTGCTCCATTCGGGAGAGCAACTGCCTCTACCGGGGAGCGCGGGGCGAAAAGTACCTGGCCCCAGGTAAAGCTCGCCAAATGGTTCTGAGCCCTTCCTGCAAATCCCCCTCGGGCCCCAGTGTACACAGGCGCCGGGTGCTCGCACGGACGCCCACTCGCAGGGTCAGCTCTGTGCGTGGGCACCCGGAAGGGAAACCCCCAAGCAGGAGCCCCGAGGGCGCCCAGCCCCGAGCCAATGGGAGTAGCGGAATTTCTTTCATTCAGAGAGGGGCGGGCCTCCGGCTCCTGCCCGGAAAGGGGCGGGGCGCCGTGCCTGGGGCGGGGCCGCCGCGCTCCGGAGAGAGGGCGGTGCCCGTCCCGCGGCCGGGCCAATCGGCGCCGCGCCCGGAGGGGGAGGGGAGACCAGGCCTTTTTTCCCTCCGCGCGGGGCCAATCCGGACTTTACAAGCTTGAACTTTTGCCACCCACGGCCGAGCGAGCGCGCCCGAGGAGGTACCCCGCCGCGCCGGCTCCAGGGCCTGGAGCGGCCTTAACCCTTCCCGCGCCGGGCCCGCGGACGCCACCGCGCCCCCAATCGCGTCCCTGCCCCTGCCCCCAAGGCCGTCCCCATCTCAGTGGCGAAATGTCGCTGGAGAAAGCACGACCTCCACCCACACCCCCTCCCCGGGCTGCGGAGAGTACACTGGAGAAGGGGGAGGAGGAAGCATCAGCCCGGAGGGGGCCCGGGAGCGCTGGCTCCGAGGCCGGGCGGGCTGTGGCGACCAGAGGATCTCGGCCGACCGCCTCCACCCCACCACCTTCAGCAGCTCCTTACCCCGGACCCCTGCGTGCGGAGCGGCCCCCGGCACCCCGTTTGGCCCAGCAGAGCGACCCCTGACTTTGCTCAGGGAGTGTGGAGACCTCGGCCATCACGGAAGATCCCACTACCTCTCCCTCCCCCCCAAACCAGCACCCCCTTTTCCTAAGAGAGGCAAGCCAACAAGGCTCACACGCACACCCATTTTTATTGGCATTCCCCGGGATGGAGTTTGCATCAAGTCTAACGTGCAATGTGTGTTTGTAAAACTTGTGCCCCAGCCAGAGAGAGGCAAAGCGCCCCCAGTTTGCGTCCGAGACTCCGTGGGTTCGCGGAGCCCTCGCGTCCCCCGCCCGTGGTGTGTGTGACCGTGTGTGCTGGGTGTGTGCGCGCGCGTGTGCTCGCTCGCATCCGCGCCCGCGGCGCACCGCGAGCCCGCGGGCGGGCGGCGGGGGCGGGCAGGCCCGGGGCGGGGGTGCCGGGGCGAGCACGGGGCGGGGGGCGGGGGCCGGGGTTCGGCCCGCCCCGGGAGCCGGCCCCTCGGAGCCGCGGGCCCTGCAATGGGACGTGTTCTCCTTTAAGAGTTAAGAAACTTGAAACCTTGTTTGCGCAACAATCAGCGCCGCGGAGCCGCCAAAGTGTCTAGACTGGCATATGATGGGAGGCAGCCAATGACTCCGCGGCGCTCCTCCGGGGGCCCTCAGTGTGCGTTTGAGGAGAACAAAAAAGAGAGAGAGAGAGAGCCGAGCGGGGGAGCGAGCGAGGGAGCCGCGCCGAGCAGAGAAAGAGCCGCCGGGCGCTGCCGCCTCGCTGGACGCCGCCGGGACCGCGGGGCCACCGGGAGGCACTTTTGGCGGCGGGGGGAGGGGGAGCGACCTCTGCAGCCGCGGCGCCCGGGCCGTCCGAGCGCCTGCGGGGTGGGCTGCGACCTCTGCCTCGGAGGATTGCATTTTTAAACTAAGGATTCCCAGCAGCTCTTGGGGATTTTTTTTTTCTTTTCAGTTTCCACTCATGTGTTGACACTCGTGCTCGGGAGAAACTCTTTTAAGTGCATCTAGCGCCTGGGACCTGAGACGGAGTTGGCCTTCGTGCATGCAATTCCAGGGATTTTTTGGGTTTGTGTGGGGTTTTTCTTTTTCTTCCTTTTTTTTTTTTTTTTTCCTTTTTGCAGGGAGTGAGACGAGAAAACAGAGTTTCAGCAAGCCTGCCTTTCGGATCCTGCAGGGAAAGCCCATGTAGTTAAGCGCTTGAGTTTTTGCAGGCAGGGAGGGCTTCCCAGGCACACCTTTGGGGGGTTCGGCGCGAGCGAGCGCTTTGTGCTCATGGACCAGCCGCGCAACTTCTGAAGGCTCGCCGGCCCATGCGGGGACTTTCTGGCGGCGCGCCGCCCGCGGTCCCCCCCGAGCGCCGCCGGGGCTGGAGTTGCTGAGCAGCCCGGCCGCCGGGGTCCATGTAGCCGCGGGCCGGGCGCAGACTTCGGCTCGGCGTGCGCGCGTGTGCTCCTCGCCGGCCCCCCGCCCGGGGAGCTCCCTCATGTTGCAGCCCCGCGGCGCCCCTCCGACGACGGGCTGTGCGCGGTCTGCACGGCGGCGCCCGGCGGCGGTGCTTCATGTGGGGCTGCGGCCCGCGCAGCCGGCGCCTCGCTGAGGGAACGGACCCGCGGTAACCGGAGACCGCCTCCCTCCCACCCCCGGCGCCCAAGGATATCGTATGTTCAGGTCCAAACGCTCGGGGCTGGTGCGGCGACTTTGGCGAAGTCGTGTGGTCCCCGACCGGGAGGAAGGCGGCGGCAGCGGCGGCGGCGGCGGCGGCGGCGACGAGGATGGGAGCCCGGGCAGCCACGCTGAGCCGGCCCCGCGGGCACGAGAAGGCGGCGGAGGCTGCGGCCGCTCGGAGGTCCGCCCGGTAGCAGCCCCGCGGCGGCCCCGGGACGCGGCGGGACAGCGAGGCGCCCAGGGCGCGGCGAGGCGCCGGCGCGCGGGGGGCCCCCCGAGGCCCATGTCGGAGCCGGGGGCCGGCGCTGGCGGCTTCCCGCTGGACGTGGCGGAGCCGGGAGGCCCCGGCTGGCTGCCCGAAAGTGACTGTGAGACGGTGACCTGCTGTCTCTTCTCGGAGCGGGACGCCGCGGGCGCGCCCCGGGACGCCGGCGACCCCTTGGCCGGGGCGGCGGCCCCGGAGCCGGCGGGCGGCGGGCGGAGCCGCGAAGCCCGCTCGCGGCTGCTGCTGCTGGAGCAGGAACTCAAGACGGTCACGTACTCGCTGCTGAAGCGGCTCAAGGAGCGCTCGCTGGACACGCTGCTGGAGGCGGTGGAGTCCCGCGGCGGCGTGCCGGGCGGCTGCGTGCTGGTGCCGCGCGCCGACCTGCGCCTGGGCGGCCAGCCCGCGCCCCCGCAGCTGCTGCTCGGCCGCCTCTTCCGCTGGCCCGACCTGCAGCACGCGGTGGAGCTCAAGCCCCTGTGCGGCTGCCACAGCTTCGCCGCCGCCGCCGACGGCCCCACGGTGTGCTGCAACCCCTACCACTTCAGCCGGCTCTGCGGGCCAGGTGAGCGCGCCGCCCCGGGCGAGGGACGGGCTTGGGCTCGGGGTCCCCCCTCCGGTCCCCTCCCGTGGCCTTTTCATATCGGACCCCTCGGGTGGGCAGAGCTGGGGTGGTCCCGTGGGGGTGCCCCTGGGTGGTGGGAGCTTCAGTGGAGGCACCTCGCCCTGGTCCTGCCGGGGAGGGGATCTGGGCACACACATCAGATGGCAGCTTCACCAAGGCACCAGCAAACGTAAAAAGGGACACGGAGTTTCCTTTATGTAGTTTCTCAGGCTCCAGCTTTACAGGGAGAAAAGGTAGGCCCTAGGAGAAGCCAAAGATTGCGATGCGGCCCCTTATTGACCCCCCCAGTTTGTGCTCAGGCTGTAGCATTTGTGCGCATACGCCTCTAATACCTAAGCTGTACTTTCTTACAACCAAGTGCAAGAGTTTGTTGTGAAGTTGGGTGTAGACAATCCGTGGCTTGAGTCAAAGTGTTTGCAAATTGTCCCATTTGTTCCTTTGGAGCAAAGCTTTTTCAGGGTAACTCCTCTCAAGGTGGGTACCACCCTCTTGACCCGATTGCTCCCAGCATCCCTTGCGTGTTAAGTGTGAGGGCGCTCCATCATCATCGTTCTCATTTCTGTGTCCAGCTTTTGTGTCCAGTTGAGGGTCCTGGGGGCATTTGGGAGCAGGGGAAGCCAGGTGTTTTATTACATCCGAGGAGTGCTCCCTGTCTTTGTTCTCTTCCTGGGACTTCCTGCACACACGTACCATCCCCCGCCCAGCTTACCTGGGGATGCCCTGGGTGCTTTAGTGGAGGTGAGGACAGGTGGAAGTTCTTAGCAGGTCAGAAGCTTGCAGGAACACACATTTTAACCTGTAGCATCTTTGAGGTGGCTTTGGAGGTTCTGCAGGGCTGTGCCTATCAAAGAGTTAATTGGATGTTGGAGGGCTCTGAGTTTCTCCAGTCTGGCCCCTCTGGAGCCAGCGAGCACCCAGCCTGAGGGTCCATAGGGGGTCAGATCACAGGTCTCCTGCCTCCCAATGTGGAAGGGAGGGGTGGGCCTGTGAGTGTGCCTGGGGGTAGTGGCTGGAGTCCAAAAGGGTGCCCCAGTGGTTTACTGAAGGGGGTGGGTGGGGAAAGGCAGCATGACCTGGCTGCCCTGCTGGCCACATGGGTTGTCATCCCAGGCCTGATTGAGGAGCTTTGACTGTCCCTGTCCTGTGGCCCACGGCTTTCCGAGCCCCTGGTTCCTCTTTCTCACAGCATCCCCTGGAAGTGGCTTTCTCCCTTCTGCTAGCCTGTCTCCTCCCTGCCTCTGGGGAGGGGTCCCTATCTGTGGTTGCCCTGCCCCTCTCTGGCCATCATTGTTGAGTGGGAGATCTCTGGTGGGGCCCACTCTATTTTAGAAAGCCCTGGCAGGTATTTCCTCTCTCACCATGTCGGTCTGCCATCAGATATTTGTTGAGCACTTATTCTGTGCCAGACACGGTGCTGGATGCAGTAGCAGAGAGAGTGGAAATATGAGAAAGACAGTCTTCCAGGGGAGTTGGGGTGGAGATGGGGAGAAGGGCCAGGTCGGTGGGTGTGAACTGTCAGAGCACTATGGGATGTGTTTGTCACAGGGCCACCTCCAGGAGCCTCCGTAGTTCTAACCCGGAGCAGGCCTTGGAGAGTGGGTAAGGGGGGTGGGCGTTGAGTAGGAGGAGAGGGGCAGCTGAGCATCAAGATGCCAGCCAGGCAGGCTCAGGTGTGTGGGTGGGTGGGAAGGTGGGGAGTGAAAAAGCTGGAGACAACAGAGAGGACCCACCCTTACCAAGGATGATGGGTGGGTTGTCCCTCCTCCTTGTCTGAGAAGTCGTCTTGGGCATTGATTGAGTTCGGTGGACCTGGGCAGGTACACATCGAGAGACACACTGCAGTGGGATGGTGCTTAACCACAGACTCGGTCCTAGGCTCGGCTTGGCCAGTGACAGGACTTGACCTTGGATGAGTAACCTGCCCTCCTCATCCCTACTGGTCAGTGGGGGTGGCTCCAGGAATATTCTCCACCTCTAATTCTAGACCGAGCACTGGCATCTGACTCCCTTCCTGCTCCCAGAAGGAGGCACTATTGCAGGGGCTATGTCTGTTCTTTCTCTTCCCCAACCCAAGGGGTGCCCCCTTTTAAGCTATCCTGGGGGCTTTTGGGAGGACGGGTGGTCTTGGAAGAGTGTCAGGTGGACCCTATCCTGTTGCTTCACTCCCCTGCCTAATGGCATGGGCCGAGGAGGAGACTGGGACTGAGGACTGGGGAACCCTTTGCTGCCCACCCCACCCCCACCAGCTGGCCGCCAGCCTGGCTCCCAGAGCTGGGCGGGTGCATAGCTGGAGCTCAGTCGTGCGAGTCCTGATAAGGAGACTGCTCCTTCCAGGGCTCTGGGGGAGAGGGCTGGGGCACTGGGGCAGACAGACAGACAGACAGACAGAGAGTGCACTGGAACACCCAGCAGGCCATCTGAGGGGCACCCACCTGGTGCCAGTCATGTCGGTGCCCCCTCATCCCTTTCTGGGCAGTGCAGACCCTGCTGCTCAGAGCAAACCCTGTTCCACTAGGAACTTGCTGTGGGTCATCGGGGCCAGTTCTCTTTGGGTGTCTTCCCGTCTGGAACGTGGTGAGGGTAGGCAGAAGCCCCGAGGTCTGACAGGCAGATTTCAGATGACACTGGCCTACCTCCCCTGCCCCGCCCTGCCCTCTCCCTCATGGCTTGTCTCAGAAAGGGGGTTCCCTCTGCCCAGCTCTGGTGCCCCCCCATCCTCCGTGGGAGTCGATCCCTAGCACTCCCTGTCCCTCTTGTGTGTCTTGTGTGTGTCTTTCTGTCCAGGGAAAAAGCCCAGTCCACTGAGCTTGGTGCCTATGTGGACGGAAATGTGGAGAAATACTTTAATCACAGTTCCAACCTGTGTTTATAGAGCTCCTTTCTCCTGAAAGTATCCATTAACTTTGGAATAAATCTCCTGCTCTTTGCTTCACCACGTTTTTTTTCTTCTTTTTTTTCTGTAATTATATTCAGTAAATTACTATTATCCAAATTGCGCCAGGGAAAGAGACAGAGTGAGAGAGAGAACTTCTAAACGACTGTAGGAGGCCGCCTAGGAAAACACAGGGTTCCCAGGCCAGGACGACAGGAATTAGAACGGGCTAGAAAGTTTTCCTTTTATTTGGCCTGGCATTATCCCTTTGAAATGAGATCAATTTCAAGTTGGGCTTCCAAGCCCCCGCCCCACCCCTCTGGCCTGCCCGCCCTGCTCCTCGGAGCTCCTCCTTGGAGGTGAGGAAGGGGTGATAATGTGCAGTTTGCCTCTTGCTGGCGCCAGCCGGCCGCGCTGTTTATCTGGCTGCCGGGGGAATCTGGGCAATTAGGCTCCGCTGGCCTTAAAGTGCCAGGAGCTCCCTTTTTGTGTCTCCCCACCCTGGGGCTTGGGGTTGCGCCTAAGGCTTCTGGGGGAGGAGAGGACTGGCCCCAGGAGGCTTCCTCCCCATCCTCAGCCACACTTGGTAAGGTGGAGGCTGGGAGGCGCAGGGAGGTCTGTGCAGCCTTTCCTAAGCAAGAGGCTGAGCTGCAAGGATGAGGGGTGGAAAGTAGTGCCCCAAACAGAAACTTGACCAGCCGCTGAGAGAGGCTGTGAACTTTTCTGGCTCTAGAATTCGATAGATACCAAAAGGCCAGGTATCCTCCGGGGACTGACCAGAGGCAGGCTGGGCTGGGCTGGGCTGAGCATTAGTCTCCTGGTACTGGCGGCCTCTGGCTGACTGCTCTCTCACTTCTGGAGGAAGTTGGAGGAGATTCCTGAAGTTGATGCCTGAGGCTAGATGTCTGAGAGAACTGCGGTTTCTGATCTTCCTGCCTCTCTTTCTCCTTCCTCTCCTTTTCTCTCTCCCTCCGCCCCCCTCCCCTCCCCCATGTTCATTTCTTTCATAGGGGTCTGCAGGACTCTTAAAAAGTTACCATTTTTAAATAACAAAACGTTTGCAAGCACTAAGCTTTGAAGAAGGGAGTGAACAGAGGGTCTGAGGGCAGCTCACACCTTTCTTATCTAACCTTTTGTTTTACATATCAAGTGTCTGACCTGAGTGCCCACCTTGCTCACCTGATTTAATGTCCTGGAGCTCCGTTCTCCCAGATCCCATGGGGCCTGGATATATGGAAGTGGAGGTGCCAGTTAAAGGTTACCCAGGCCTGGCCAGTGCGGTTCAGTGGTTCAGTCCTATGAACCAGGAGGTCACAGTTTGATTCCCAGTCAGGGCACATGCCAGGGTTTTGGACTCCATCCCCAGTAGGGGGCGTGCAGAAGGCACCTGATCAATTATTATTCTCTCTAGTCAGTAATGTTTCTGTGTCTCCCTTCCTCTATGAAATCAATAAAAAAAATATTTTTTTGAAAAGGTTTCCCAGTATTGTTCTTAGCACTATTCACAATAGCCCCAAAGTGGAAACAACCCAAATGTCCATTAGCTGATGAATGGATGAACAAAATGTAATATATCCAATGGAATATCATACAATGGAATATCATTCAGCCTTAAAAAAGAATGATATGCTACAATGTGAATGAACCTTGAACACAATCCTAAGTGAAAGAAGCCAAGACACAAAAGGTCATACATGTATACATTTGTGTGAAATGGTCAGAATAGGCAAAAATCCCTGAAGAGAGGAAGTCGATTATTTTTGATTGCCTGGATTTGAAGTTTGGGGGTGATGAAAATGTTCTATAATTAGGTAGTGGTGTTGGTCTCACAACTCTGAATATATTAAAAACCACTAACTTGTATACCTCAAAAGAGTGGAATCTTAAGAGTGTGGATGATGATACAATTTTTCAAGAAAAGGTAACTTGATACTGGTCCCCAACTGGCCTCCCCTTTTGTATAATTGAAAGAGTAACTTGTACTTTTCTATGTGGCCTTGGGCTGGTCCTTTATCTTGCTGGATCTCAGTTGCCCCATCATTTAAAAGAAGCTGAGTTGGGTGAACTCCAGGAAGTTGAGTAAGGCAAACCTCTGACATTCTAATTCCTCCTGCTGGGGGTGAAGTCTGTAGAGGTGAGTGCTTTTTCACTTTTCACTTGCCTGGTATAGAAGTGAGTAACTGGCTTCCAGTCCCCACAGTGGTTAGAGTTCTGTGCATATGGCCTTGCTGGTGTAAATGGGGGCCCGGGAAAGTCTTTCCGGGAGTCTTGCAGTTCCCTGGAGCTGGTGTGTGTGACATTTCAGGTTTGTAGATGCTTTCCGTCTCACTCATGTCATTAGGACCCTTCCAGCTCAGGCATGGCCATGGGTGGCATATGGCTTCTGCAAGAGACACTGAGGTTGACGACGGACAGTGGCTTGACTCTCACCACTGTCCATTGCTGCCAAGTTGCACTTTTGGGGACATCTCTGGGGGACAGCTGTACAGAGCCTCCCACCTTGTGTGGCCTGGGCCTCAGCCTTTCAGATTTTTTTGTAAAAATATATTTTATTGATTTTTTTACAGAGAGGAAGGGAGAGGAAGAGAGAGCCAGAAACATCAATGAGAGAGAAACATCCATCAGCTGCCTCCTGCACACCCCCTACTGGGGATGAGCCCGCAGCCAAGTTATATGCCCCTGCCCAGAATCAAACCCGGGCCCTTGAGTCCGCAGGCTGATGCTCTATCCATTGAGCCAAACCGGTCAGGGCAGTCTTTCCGATTTTTGCCAAAGGAACCCTTACACAGTAATTGCAGTCCTTCTGATAAGTTGATGGGGTAGTGTGGAAAGGGCCTGAGGCTGGGGGTCAGGAGACCTGTCTTCTACAGCCAGCTCCCTGTCTGGCCTGAGGGAGTCACTTCCACAGTCCAGGCCCCAGCCTTCTGTCCAGTGGGAGCACCAGCCTCATGTCTCCTTCCCCGCGGAATGCTAGCCCTACCTGTGTTTTGACCCTTGTCCTGAGAGGCTGCCTCTCACATCTGGTCTCTAGCCCTCCAAGTCCTGAGGACCAGTAGGTGACTCCTACTGAAGGCAAATAACTCGCCTCTTTGAGTCCTGCTCGGGGTCTCCCGTGATCACTTTGGCCCTTACGTCCTCATTATCCACACCTTTGTCCACTGATGCCCCCAACCTGACCATTATCCTCATAACTGTTGTCTCGGTCCACAGACGCTCACTGAGCACTTTGTCTGCGGATGATTGTCTGTGACTTAGCCGGGATGAAGGGGTGGACGATGGGGTGCCTTTTGATTACCTGTCTCGTTGGGGTGTAGACCAGAGTCAGCCTGGACTCAGATCTTAGTTTTACTATGATTGGCTGGGAGACACTGGGCAAGTCAGTCTTCTCCTCTGTAAAATGGGAATATTGACCATTTTGTCTCTGAGAAAGGACAAAATAAAAGTAAGTGCCCGATGAGCAACTCTGTACCTAAGGTCCAAGAGAATAAAATAACAATAAATGAAATTGAAAAGGCCTGGCATGGAGGCACAGGGTCGTCTTTCCCTCCTAGTAGCTACTCCATGATTCACTTCTCCTTCTCCCTGAATACTGTCCACAAAAGATGCCCTGTTTCTAGACCTCGGAGCCTCTACTTTGTTGAAATAATTTCTGGCTGGAAAAGCCAGGGTGGGGAAGAGCTGAAGCTGCATAGGGTGTATGGAGCAAAACAAATGCTCCTACAGCTAATTGTGCCTTATTATAATTACGAAAAAACACTTATTACCCCTTGTGTCATTACTGATACCTGCCTAATAATAGTTATTACCACTTTACTACCACTGAGAGTTTGTTTTAGTTTGCGATTTGATGGTGTTTAGTTTCATTTAGGGAAAATGAAGGGTCATTTCATTCATGCAAATTGTTACTTAGTTTAGCAAATTGTTACTTCCCCTAAAGCAAGAGGCTAAGGAATTCTTCTGAAGACAAAGTATATGTTTTCAAGGAGGAGTATTTTAGGCAAATGAAAGGAAACCAAAAGAAAAAATGCCTTAGACCACATGTGTCAAACACAAGGCCCGCGGGCCAAATCCGTCCCGCCAGGCCTTGCAATGTGGCCCGCACCGCGCTGTCATCACTGCACTCCGCTGCGTTTCCATCACAATGACAGTTTATGACTGTTCAGTAAACCATTCGGCCCGCGATTTAGGTTGGATTTTAGATTTTGGCCCCTTCTCTGATTGAGTTCGACACCCCTACCTTAGACAATAAGGAATCACACACGGCCTGAGCTGGAAGGCAGTAGAGAGCTTGTGTCCCACCCCTTGGCTAAGTGAGGCCGAGGGCTGGCAGTGACTGGTTTAAGGTCTCACATCTCGGGCATGGCTTCTCTGGTCCCAACCAACCTTGCCCTCCTTGCCGCAAAGAATGGTACTTCTAAATATATATATTTTTATTGATTTTTTTTTTTTAGAGAGAGAGGAATAGAGAGTTAGAAACATCGATGAGAGAGAATCATCAATCAGCTGCCTCCTGCATACCCCCTACTGGGGATGTGCCCGCAGCCAAGGTACATGCCCTTGACTGGAACCAAACCTGGGATCTTTCAGTCTGCAAACTGACGCTCTGTCCACTGAGCCAAACCAGTTTCAGCAAGAATGCTACTTCTAATGCAGCTTATGGGAAACGAGCTTCTGCACTCAGACTCCATTCTGCTTAGAGTTGCCAAATTTAGCAAAATAAAAATACAGAATGCCAGTTAAGTTTAAATTTTAGGTAAACAACACCTACCTTTTTAGTATAAGTATGTCCCAAATATTGTGAGGGACATACTTATACCAGAAGCTATGCCACGGAAATCCAAAATTCAAATTTACCTGAGCATCTGGTATTTTATCACGCAGTCCTGGCTCTGGCTTTTCCCTGCACCTGTGTTTCTCATTACAATAATAACAGTTAAGTGTTTGTGGAGGTATTTTTCTACAGTACCAAGAGCTGTGCTAAGCGTTTTATATACATTATCTTCTTTCACCCACCTGGCAAACCTGGGAGGTCCATATGATTATTGTCACCGTTTTATTTTTATTCATAAGAAATGTTTTCTTATTGGTTGATTTTCTTTTCTTTTTTTTAGAGAGAGAGGAAGGGAGAGGGAGAGAGAAACATCAATTGGCTGCCTCCTGCATGCCTCCTACTGGGGATCGATCCTGCAACCCGGGCATGTGCCCTGACTGGGAAATGAACCAGCAACCTTTTGGTGCACAGGACCATGCCTAACCAACCAAGCCACACACACTGGCCAGGGGGAGTGTCACCATTGTAGAGCCCAGGAAACAGGCTCTGAGGAAGTCACTTGCCCAGGGCCGCACAGCCAGAGGCGGCAGAGCAGGGATTGACCCCGGGTCTGAGCCTATGCCTGGGCCTTACTGCTGAGCAGTGATGCTCCAGTGGATTTGGGCAGCAGAGGTGATGGGAGGAAAGGAGGGCTTCCTGTGAGCTGGGTTTGTTACAGGAGGGAAGCCATAATGAAAAGCTTGTAGAAGAATCCCCAGGGTGACCTCTCCCGCCCTGGCAGTGACATGCTGTCTCCTGTCTTTCAGAATCACCACCACCCCCCTACTCTCGGCTGTCTCCTCTGGACGAGTACAAGCCACTGGGTAAGTGTGTCCTCCTTCCGACCCTAGGGGGGGTGTGTCCGTCCAGGGTGCCCCTTCATTCCAGTGCCCAGCCTCCGAGCCCAAGGGCTGGAGGGGCGGGGGGAAGGGGTACGGGGGGCCGGGGGTGGGGCGGGGCGGGGAAAGCCGGCCTGGCTGCTTCTGAAATGGGGAGAAGTATTACAAACACACCCTCAGTGGGGCGGTCACAGACAGCCTCTCCAGTGGGCTATTTACATCTCGAAATTCCTCCTCTCGTCGTTAACCTCTCTGTGACCTTCAGAAGGGGACATGTGGGAGATGAATGGGTTTGTCCCTAAGCGTCTCATCGGAGGGGGGTTGGTATTTGTCTCTTTTCCCTTCTCTCCCTCCCCCAGTCTTAGGTTATTCTCCTTCGGTGTGTATTAATTGTTGCTATGGCAGATAGGTTGAGCAAGAAGTCCCCGTGGAGAGGAGCTGTAAGGTTTTTCCCCCTTCCGAAGCCAAAAAGTTTACCTGGGCAGGCACCACAGTTGGGACATTTGAGAAAGCACTTGCATTGGCACACACAGCCCCTGGCACAGGTAGAACGTGTTCTCTGCAAACGGTGGGGCCAGGCGAGCTGCTTGTCCTCTGTGTACATGCGTGTGGTTTCCAAAGTGGAGATGGCTTGTGTCCTGGCCCTCCTGTGTCCTCCAGGGGAGAAGGCTCGCCGTGTGGTGAGTTCATGTGGCCTCAATAGCACCAGGAGGACAGCTTTGTGACCCAGACAGTTCCCACGGGACTTGGTTAGACTTTGAAAGTCGGATGGCGTGGCAGTGATGCTGACACATTCCACCGAGTGACCACAAAAAGTGTGTGTTTTGTTTTGTTTTTGGTGAAGGCTCTTCTCAATAGCGTGTGTCAGCGTTATCTGGGAGGTCCCTTCTAAGTGTCCTGGGCGCTCGGGCACCCAGCCCCGTTTTCCTTCCAGGCCCTCCTGTGAGGCACAAGGGCCCCCCGGGTCCCTCCGGGAGTCTGACCTCCTCTGTCCAGGCGGACGGAGGGTGTCCCGTGATGGTGTGTGCGTCAGAGGTTCAGCGACAGCATGCTCCTCTTTGTTTTTCCTGTCAGATGGTCGTCCCATGGATGGAGGAGCTTTGTTTAGTTTTCCGGGGAACAGGAAAGGCCTTCTGGCTGGACTCTGTCACTTCATAGGGAAATAAAGTGAGGGGTAGGGAGGGCCCCCCAGCTAATGAGCATCGACCCAGCGCCGCCCCCTTTTCAGCTCACTGTTCCCCCTTCTTCCCTCACAGGCTTGTCTCAGCATTTCCTACGTTAGCATAATTGCATGAATCGCTTAGAAGGTCCCTAGTTTCATTAGAGAAAAAAAAAAACAAAAAAAACCCACCCTCAAATGTTCTTAGTAAAGTAGTAAACTCAGCTTGAATGTCAAGGATCATTGCCCTGAGGAATTGTGGGCTAGCCTATGATGCAGGAGGCCACTTAGCCCTGCCGAGTGACCATTTGGAAGTCAACAGGTGTCCCGGTTATTTTACGAATGGGACAACTGAGGCCTGGAGAGAGGAAGTGACACTTGCTGGTGGTCATATAGCTCAGGGGTCTGCAAACGACAGCTCGCCATCTGTTTTTGTAGGGCTTGCGAGCTGTAAGCATGGTTTTTTATGTTCTTAGATGGTTAAAAAAAAATCAAAAGAAGAATAACATTTCATGACATGTGAAAATTGTACGAAATTCCAGTTTCAGTGTTTGCAATAAAGTTCTTCTGGAACACAGCCACACAGCCACACTCCCCCGTTCCACATTGTCTGCGGCTGCCTCCACCCTGCAGTGGCAGAGGTGAATAGTGGCAGCAGAGGTTGTATGGCTCGCAGGTCTGAAAATACATGCTGTTGGGCCCTTTGTAGAAAAAGTTGGTGACCCCCGATTTTGCTAAGAGTGGAGGTGTGACTTGAACCTGGGGGTTCCGACTTCTAGCGGGGTCTGTCCTTGGGGCTGGAGCCGTGCTGGAGATGGGGAGTGTTCTTTTTCTACAGCAGCCCAAAGACACTTCAGACTTGTAGGGCCTCTCTTAGGAGCACAGATGTGAGGGTTTGCAGAGTGCATTATGGGGACTTACTAGCTGCAAAAGGTAGAAACTGCCTGTTGTTGTCCCTCCTGGGAACCTCACAGAGCTGTCTGTGTTAGACCCACAGTGATTCACTGAGAAATGGGGTTCAGCCTGTGATAATGAGACTCAGGGCGCTGCACTTTTTGGGAACATCAAGTATTAAAAGGAACAATCTTTTAAGAAGATCCTACTGAGGCATTGAGGTTATTTTATTTTATTTTTTTAAGAGATTTTCCCATCTGTCCTTATTTTCCTCCAGATACGTTTTACCCAGATAACTTTTTCATGCCCTGATAAATAGCCCGAGTTATTTTTTGTATTATTTTCTTTTCCTTGCATTGTTGCTTTTGCATAAACAAAAAGTCAGTTCACTTCTAAGCCTCTGTGATCACATGATTCTAAAAACAAAATAAAACTCAGAACACCCAGTCAGCATCTGGCAAGTGGGAAATAAAAAAAAAAAAAAAAAAGAAAAGAAAGAAGAAAAAGAGGGCAAATTGGTTAATGTTTCATCTTCCCACTCTCCCAAGCCATGTGGTAAAAGGAAAAAAAATAATCCTGCAGGATCGAATGGAATCCTAGCTAGCGAGGGCCCGGGCCCCAGGCTAGCCGTGTGTCCTCAGGAATCCCTCGCTTGGGCGCCTCTCCTGAGCCAGGTGGGACCCGCCGACCCAGACCTGGGCTGTGCTGGGTGAGATGACGGAAGTGCCACAGACCTCACAGGGCCTGCCTCTTCCGACTCCTGGGCAGGCCTGTCCCTTCACGGGGAACAACACCCATCACTGGTAGCAGGAGGCACAGGCCCAGGAAAAATTTTCCAAGTCTGCCTGCCCCAAAAGGCATTGGCTTATTAAGCGAGCAGCTCAGTGTTCAAAAAAAAGAAAGAAAAAGAAAAAAAAACGTGCAAAAGATTTTCCTTTTCCCATCTAACGGCACTGCAGACTGGGGAAAACAAATAATGCTCGCCATATGAAGAACTTAAAACTACTCGCACAAAAATGAACCCCTTAAAAACAACAACACACAGGCCGGGCATTGAAAGTCGCTCTGTGAGCAGGTTGGAATGTTAGGGAGTGGAGGTGGGGAGAGGAAAAAACTTAATCTGGGAGCAAACGCTTGAGCCCTTAATTAGAGGGGTGTAAGCGGGACAGAGGGGGATGGCTGGTAACTTGTTAAAACAGTTTCCCCAGCTCCAGCGAGAGGAAGGAAGGAAGGAAGGAAGGAAGGAAGCAAGAAGGAACAACTTCAAGAATTTTAATGGTTGTAATTAAGTATAGCAGCTATGAATTGTTTAGGGGCTTAATTTAACCGTACCCAGGGAGGCTCCAAGTTGCTACTTGCTCAGTCCCCAGAACTTGGGTTATTTCTGTGGTCAGAGCAGTTGCAACTTTTTCAGGTGCCAGGGCTTTAGTCGTCAGCATTTTCCAGAGGAATTCCAGGGCTGGCCGGCTGGCTGGCCGGCCGGCCGGCCGGCCTGGTCTCGTACAAGTATGGGACAGGGTCACAGAGTGGCATCCGTTGGGAGGGACACCCTGCCCCTTGCAAGCACCTGTGTGCACACACGTGAGCATGGATGCATGAGAAAGCCGAGACGGGAGGCATGCCCCAGCGCCAACTAAGTTTTCTCTCTCTTTCCTCCCGTAGATCTATCTGATTCCACATTGTCTTACACTGAAACGGAGGCCACCAACTCCCTCATCACTGCTCCGGGTGAATTCTCAGGTTGGCATTTTTTTTCTTTGCACGCCGCCGTTGTGTTGAACTTTGCAAGAGGGGGCCAGATGGGCGTGGTGCTGGATGGAGGCCCTTTTGATATCCCCACTCCTTTTCTTTCCCCCTTTTCTCTCAGCCCTTCGATGGGAAGACTGCCCATCTCTTCATCACTGGTGTTCTTGGGGTTAAGAATGAGACCTCAAAATGGTAACCTGAAATGTCTATTGATCCTCCTTTTACCCAGTTGTCTCTACCTTGTCTTGTGGGAGTGAGTAAGGCCCGGTACAGCTCTTCATCTCTCATTTTAGCAAAGGGATCTTGTTCTCCCAGCTGCAGTGAGGCAGCAAATGGATGTGTTTGTATACATTTCTCTTCATGGGTTTCTCTTCCCGTCCGTCCCCCACTCTGGGGAAGGAGCTATGTGAGGTGTCAGGAGAGGGGGGAACGGTGTGGGTGGAACAAGCTTTCAGGAGGGTCTGGTAAGGAGGGCGTTTGCCAGAGGCCGGTGGTTTCCCTGTCCTTCCTTGAGCAGTGGATGCTGGGCTCCTTTGCAGAGAGAACACTAGTTTGGAGCTCCCACCCCTTGCAATTAAGAGTTGGCCATAGGGACATTCCAAGAATGTCTGAGTCAAGCTTCCCATGAGAAATAAGAGGTTGGTGGTGACTTGGGGGGCATGAAGGGCCAGGAGGGACTTGGGTGCCAAGGTCTGTGGGAGCCTTTGGGAAAATGGCGGGTGGTGCGCTATCAGGGCTGCTGGGCCTTGTGGCCTGGCCCTGTGCTCCATGCGGTGACAGCCCTCCAGGCTGGAGCTGCATGGCTGGATCTTGGCTTGAGGGTTTCTGCCTGCATCTGAGCTGTCTTTCCTCTACCCCACACCCAAGTCATAATAGCAGCCACAGTGATCAGAGCTGTTAAGTGTTTACTTTGGGCCATGGCTTTTGCTTGGGCCCTTTACCTGTAGCATCTCTGAACAGCAGTAAAGGAACTTGACCAGGGGCACCTAATAGCAGAACCATTTGTCACTGTGCTCCTAACCACTGTTCTGTCTTGTCTCCCCCCCTGCACACCCCCCCCCCCCCCCACACACACTTTTCTGCATATACCTCTGATAAACTGAGTTTACACAAAGTTCTGTCTGTCGTTCTTGCCGCATTCTCCCTGTGACTCTACATGAAGCCGGCTGCCTGGCCACTTCCCATC